TTCACCAGCTCTAGTTTAGCCAATACTGTCCCACCTTACTAAAATTTTACCTCTATTCTCTAATCACAATGCTCCGTATGGCGGCTTACTTCAAAGTCGGGTAATTTAAAGAGCACAAAGAATGGCAGTGCGCATGAGATCAGCACGAGAACAACGACCACGGCAGACTTTCCAAGAGTTCTTGCCACTTGAAAAAACATCACCACAAAGATTCCGACTATCTTAAAACTAAAAGAAAGAGAGACCTTTATATGTTACCCTGCAAAAGTACTTTCCAAACACTTGCTCCTGCTTGCCTGTTTTGCAATACTTGCCCTTTCCTCAGAAGCGTCTTACTGCATAAACTGGTCCCAGAGTGGTCACTTGCTTCTTCCATCCACACAAAGATTATCTCAAAATCGCCATAAAGCTTATTAACTGTCGGATGGTTAAAGACTGGTTCAAATGCTCCCACAATTGTTTCGTATGGCATAGTACTTTCTTGAGGCGAACAGGTTCATTTACTTAAGAAGGTCCCCGTTACTCTTAACTATAATAATCTTGGTAACATGGACAATAGGTTAACAAAGATAGTTGCAAAGATCCTCGAATGTGCACAGGGAAGCCCATTGTCTATTGAGAGGTGATTCCATCAACAGATCAGACTTTTACTTACCGAAATGCAAAACTAGGATACAATAAAAACATATACGAGAAGAAAATGAAGAAAGTTTGTGTTACCGCATGAGGTGAATGACCAAGTAACTCCAGGCGAGAAAGAGCGCAATCGCTCCTAACTCGATGAAATTATGGTTGATGACCTTATGCAACGACATCACGGCGTACGCTGTGGCCGCCGCAAAGACGCCCAATGAGTAGAAATTGATGAGATCCTTGAAGAACTTTAGACCCTGCGAGGTAAGGGCAAAATCAACATCGATACGAGGAACAAATGCCTGGTGGAAATGTTTGTATCTGGAAGGATTGAAAGTTGTTATCTTTCTTGATTAAACAGAGTTAGTTAAAATGCAGTAAAAAGTTTCTAAGTTGACAAGTAATTCAAGTGATCGGTTGGCAATTAATTGGTGCGACGTCTTATCTCGCATGAAATGAAAAATCAGCCCTAAAGATAGTTCCTTATGTTGGTATTGGGAGTCAACTTTAGGGTACGAACTATTTTGGTCACAATGGTCTAGTCTTTTATACAAGACTTCGAAAGCAGCTACTATCCTGATAAGGCTGATATGAGAAGCATTTAGATTGGGTTCAACCATTTGTGCTGCCAAATGGCTAGGCTAACTGTTCATTTCTACACCACTTCCACTTTAATTAAGTGGAAATAGACTGTTGCATTTCGACGTTATTTCAATCAAGTTTTGCATTTGCAAAAGCATACACGTATTTTGACGTGGAATCACCAGAAATTCGCACGCTCCACATGATTACGGGCAAGTCAAGTATTGAACGGCTAGGCGTTTTCTTGCAAGATAAAAAGAAGAGTAGCAAGAATAGCAAGTTTTGCTAAACATTGGTTACACTCACTTCGTTGAATATGAGTATGATGTCTTGCAGCATGCAAATGGCAGCTGTAAATGCTATGACGTAGCTCAATATTGCCTGAACTCTACGTCGTCCTGGTGTCTGAAATACCTAGGGGGGAGCAAAATAGTATTAAAATTAAATTTGGCATTTATTATTCTCTATAGTTGGAAAGAACCTGGTTATCCATTTGGCATAGCGGATAAGATTTCAAAACCAGTTGCTCGTTTGTCACACAGATGTTTCATCTACTGAGCTACGAATACCGTAACATATCAAAGCATTTGGGAGAGCTAAGGTCAAAGCAGAGCCATTTTAAGTGCACAGTTGTACACTATTATGCTGTACCTGACTAGTCCGTATTAGAGGTACTCACTCATTTAAGGTAGCAGCACAAAGTCTACACAAATGCCTAAATGGTTGATAACAACTTGATTAACAGCTTACTTTGGCATCTCAACACGTACAAGATTATAGCAGGTCATATTCAGTCGAGTGTTCGCTGAGTGACGAAGTGGTTCGTGATCCAGGACGAGGAAAGTTAGACAAGCAAGGAAATTAATGTAGAAGGCTGAGCTGATGCAATGAACCCAAAGACCGTACCGTTGCCTACAATCGCATGATGTAAAAACTGAGGTTCTAGGCGAGTGAATACCACATGCGACTTTACTTTTGTTGTGTAAATCAAAGTTTAAATGCTCGGCTACCATGCTAAATGTGTTTGCATAAACAATACAGCAGACTTGATGAAGCGGCGTAGGCTCTAAATGTTTAAGGACTTTAGCTTACTGTCCGATTTTGAAGTTGCATTTTGCAAACTTTTACCATTGGGTCGTGGGATGTTTTTGCGATCTGCATTGATGCAAGTCTGCTCGACTATTTTTAAAGCTTTATTATTTGGGGTGATCGGGATGTAAAATGTTGCCTCTTACCATTTGCACCGAAGCAGAGCATGGCAGAGTGGGTGAACGATCAATTCATCCCGCTGTAGAGAAATCATGACCTAGAGGGCAACCGTAGGAACTCTGAGTATATGCTAGGATGCACCTCACCCAAATTACCACACTTTGCGTTTAAATTATGCTTCAGCTATGTTTATTACCTTTAGCAAATGAAGTGGTGAGTGCTGTGTCCTATCAAGCAGTGCCGATTTGGGTTGTAGAATAGAGAAGTCATATGTAACCTTTGCAAAAGAGAAAATTAAAATTAGCTTAAATTAAGATTAATCTTGCCTCATAATTTGGTTTGCCTGGATTGCCCTCCTCTTTGATAGACCGATCCATGATGATCTAGTGGTTAAAAGACAATGTAAGTGTCGTGAGGGAATCCAAGAGATTTTGACATATAAT